AATCTATCATTAAAATGAAAACATCCTCTATCAAGTGTTCTAAGAAATAGGACTCAAGATAAACCTTTCGAAAAGAGAAATTATGATCTGCAATTGGAATGAAAACAGTGATGGCACCTACCCTGAATCCATAATCAAAATGAAAACATCCTCTATCAAGTGTTCCAAGAAATAGGACTCAATATAAACCTTTCCAAAACAAACTATCATCTGGAATTGGAATGAAAGCAGTGATCGTACCTACCCTGAATCTATCATAAAAATAAAAACATCCTCTATCAAATGTTCTACGAAATAGGACTCAAGATAAAACTTTCTTTTGTGATGTTGGACGGCTTCATTTGCCACGTTTGCTATGTCAAGCAAAAGCTTGTTATCACTTCTAAAAATGCTCATTATATTTGAGACATTGTAGACACTAGTACTAGTAGTAACACCTTCCAATAATATCCACACTAGTAATATTTGTTCAAGTAGTAATCGCCAAATAGAGTAGAGAGAGTGAATGTATAGCAATAGTGGAGAAACAAGAAGAGTGAGTGAGCAGTGATTGTACAATCATCACACTACATCCTATTTATTCACTTCTTTTATGATCACGTGATCTACTTAATTATGGAATCGTCTGTGTTATTCACTGGCGATCTAGTTTCAAACCACAGTGCCAGCAACGACACTTACTCTTATACAACACTTTCCAAAACAGAAACTATGATCTGGAATTGGATATCATGCATTGCACTACATCCATTCAGGAATACTTAGACTGTCAGTTGTATACAACCACTTTCTAAGATCAATGGTTAAAAATGGCTTCAAGCAAGTGAAACCTGAGGGTCTTGGTGAACACCATCCTTCTTCAAAGTTTGTGGACTGGTGCTACAGAATCAAAAATGATCTAATTAAGATGTTGACATTCCACATTACTTCAAATAAAGAGTTAGGAAGGAAACACCCATCAATATTAGAAAAAGCAATTATAGCTAGTGAACTTGAGAAAACTATTCTCCTGAAAAATTATTTTAAGAGAAAGATTTTATAAACTTTGACAATAGTACAAATGTACCAATTTTTTTTTCGACATATGTCCAAAACAAAAAAAAAAAATTGGCCCAATGTATAAAGATGTTGGTCAGATTCAGTGACTAGACCCAAAGAGTTATGAGTTCACAGCAGTGGTTAACCAAAAAAAAAAAAATTTGAGAGTTAAGTTAAAGGGAAATAACTGAGATATCTGAAAGAGGCATGGCACGTGGAACTAGAACAATCTACCCTGGTGGATGAAATATGGGGTTCAGTCCGAAATCCCAATCACTTGAAGTACAACGGCCAAAATGTTATGAATATGGCAATGAAGATGAGGATAACAGTCTGAATAATGTAAATAAAGTAAATAAAGCAATGCTTGTTTGTCATTTTTAATGAAAGACTGCTACCATAACACACATTACTGACCTAATATATAAAATTTACTACACAAAGCTAAGCTCAGTAAATAATTATTTATATTGGGTAAAGCTGACAAAAACAAAACAGTAATAATTGCTTTTTGCAAATGAAATATTATGCATGGTTTGAAAAAGACAAGAAACTAATGATCCATTACAATGTAAACAGTTTCTATGCATCTGTGTTGTTCAGTTTGCATTTCCTCATAAGATGGAAGTCATTTTTATAAGATATGGTTATCTGCCAAAATCTTTGCTGTTCTAAGCTCCGACCTCCTATCTGTGAAGACAAGACAAGTATTTGTATTTGTCTAATTAACAACTTCTCACTCTGGATTTCTTGCTTTTCTTATCTTGAAGTTCAGTTTTTGGGAATGCCAATTCTGCTTTTATTTGAATTCTATGTAAGCAACATCCGAAAATGTTAATACAAAACATAGAATTATAGAAAATATTATCGAATATTGTTATCAAATCCAGTATTTCCCAAATAAATGTTATCTGCTTATAATCATCAAAGTTTAGGATTTCTATCTGAATATTTCATCTTGTTCTTATCTGGCATCTTGTTTCTTGCATTTTGTTTTTTGTATCTTGCATCTTGTATCTTGTCTTTTGTATCTTGTTTCTTGCATCTTGTTTCTTGCATCTTGTTTTTTGTATTTTATTTCTGGCATCTTGTTTTTTGTATCTTTTTTAGTAACATAGTAATTGTGAGCTCTATATCCTGACCTGGCATCATGACTTTAGTCACTTTCTCATTGGCATGAAGTGACTTCCCTCTGTCTTTTCTATAAATATTTTCAGGCCAATTGTTCTGACCAGCTTTCCTCCTTAGTATCTGGATGAGTGTGTATTTGAGGGATCATTTGATCAGAAGATTGTTCTTAATTAGCTAGTATCCGATTAATTTTGTCCAGTTAACTGATTTTTCTGTCTTAATTAAGGATTGTAGGTTTTTTTTACTAAAACTATTTTGTTTAGTTTCTTGTATATAAATTGTATTCATTGTAAATATTCAATGGGGTTTCATTTTTAAATGTTGTTATTTTCATTCCCCACTCCCAAACAAATTGTACATATGGGAACTAGTTAGGGCTACATAGAGACTTTGAGGTATTATGGTGACTGTAGTAAGAATGGTAAATAAGAATGTGTTGTTTTGGTGCAAGGAATATTGTGGTATATTTGGATCAGTAGTCATGACTAGCTAAGTTTAAGATAAGACAGATTGATGACCAGCCTTCCCCTGTCTCCCCACTTTTGGCCTTGTGCCATATTTTTGTATTTTCAAAATAAATATTGCTTTGCTCCTTGGTGACTTGACTGCATGGATTTAACTGTGCTATTAGATTGGCAATTAGTTCTCACCATTTTACTGTTGAACTAGCTAGATTCAGCCATATGTTCTATTTTAATAGTTTATTTTCATGCACTTCTCGCCTGTGGTAGTCTTGTATGCTTTCCTGCTTCTTTGCCACTTACAATCTTCAAAGATTTAAATGCAATGCCAATCGTCATCTTCTGTCTTCCTGAAACATGTTCTTTTATTGTCCTTTCTCTTCACTAAAATCTTTTCATTCTCTTCCACTCCCAGTAACCCCTTGCATCTTAGTGGCATTATTGCCTTGCTTGGGATGAAATGATTAAAAAAAAAAAAAAGGAAAAGTAGTACAGAATTAGGTTCAGTGGAAACAAGGCAAGCAGTAACTGAGCAATACTAAATAAGAACAAGATGAGATATCATAAGTCATGGACATTGGAATGAGAACAGTCTACCACCACATAGATTGAATAAAGTGTTCAGTTTGAAATTCCCTGAAGGTCACCCAGATCAAGACACCTGAAGAAGGCCGGGGAGTGCAACAGCTGAAATGTTGAGATAATAACAAAGATAAAGACAATAGCCTTGATGCAAATAATGTAAATAAAATTTGTGTTATTTTTTATATGACATTGTTTGTAACAATGAATGAAAAGTTTTTTCAATTCTTATATTTCATATGTCACACAATAGGGTCATAGGAATACCACATGTACTGCAGCCAGAACATCAGTGGTGTGTCTAGGGAATGGTGTCCTAACGAAATGATCCCTCTTCAGGTTGGTTTTGAATTCAGAGATTTTTTTCTTTTAGATTGGTTGCACAATCTGCCCTACTATTTAACCCATAGATGGAGTAAAATGGATTTTTGCCTTTTCAGCATACTGATTTCTCTTTCTGCACTGCTAACCATTTCCTTTTCTTTATTTTGCCAGGAGTCTGTTCCACAAAGTAGCAGTCCTTGGAAGAAGTTGTCTGAGTGGAACTTACTCCTCACTAATGGGATACAAAGAAAATAAGAATGATTCATCCATGTGTACATGGGACAAAGGTCAAGGTTTGTGGAACCAAGGAATGTAGCTCATCTGAATAAATACGATGGAATTAAATAAAGTGTTTTGTTCAATATTCCGAAAAAGTAGAGACGACCAAAAGTAATGTTGAGACAAAAGCAACAAAGTTTCTGAAGCAGTCTAAGTTAATCAATGTAACAAAAAATTCCTATTTTTAGATATTTGGACAAGAAACTCAATTATCAAGTCCTTCGTAACAGGTAGGTCCTTGAAGGTTATTCTTAACAGCCAGTCATTTGAAACCCATTGTATCAATGCCAGCATTCCTCACGATTCTCTTCTTCGACCTACCCTCTATCTGCTCTATATTAATAATCTACATATTCCAATCTTTAGAGAATATCTATGTGGATGATACAACAGTTTACAGGTGCAATTTGGAAGACCAGAAGCTTGCAGCTCGTGTATCCTCTGACCCTACCCTGTCAGCACAATGGAGGAAAGGCTGGCTTGTAAAATTCAATATGTCCAAAATCAAACTAGTAATGTTGCACATCACCGAGCAGACCTCGAACATTTGCCTATCATGATAGCTGGGGGTCTCAGGGAAGCTCCTTTCCCTGAACATCTACTGGGACTCAAGTGGAACTCCAGACCTCAAGTGGAACTCATATATACAATCTATTGTGAAATATGTTGCAAATATTGTTGCTTCATTGAAACACCCTCTACTCTACCCTATCTCTACAAGAGGCAATTCAGAAATGGAATATTACTACCAGACCTTGTAGGGAGCTGCCCAGTCCTCAATTGCTTGTCATGGTAGAGTTTAAAAGAACCTACACGGCCTTGTGGGTGATTAATCATTTTCCACGTTACAACCCCTTTCCTACAGACAAAACTTTGTAAGCTTTTTCTTTTCTTTCTCTCTTTAAAATGTCTTTCTTTTCTTTTTCTCACAGAATTTTCTTTCTTAAAATATTTTCTTTACTTATTTTTTCTCATTTTCTTTCTTTCTTTCTTTAAATGTCTTTGCTTTTTCTCAAAGTGTTTTTTCTCCTTTTTTCTTTTCTCCTTTCATTTTTCATTCTTTCTTTCATAAAACATTTTCTTTCCTTATTTTTTCTTAACATCTTTCTTTTTTTCTTTCTTTAAGCATCTGCACTTTTTCTTAGTGTTTCTTTTCTCATTCTTCCTATTTTTATTCTTTCTTAGAGCCGTTTTCCCTTACGTTTTTGCACTTGCTTTCTTTCTTTTGTTCTTTCATTCTTTCTTTCTTTTTTCTTTCTGTCCTTCTCTCTTTTTTACTTCTCTCTTTATCTTTTGTTCTTTCTTTTTCTTTCTTTCTTTTTTCTTTCTTTCCTTCTCTTTTTTTACTTCTCTCTTTTTTGTTCTTTCTTTCTTTCTTTTTCTTTCTTTCTTTTTCTTTCTTTCTTTTTTCTTTCTTTCTTTCTCTCTTTTTTACTTCTCTCCTTTTCTTTTGTTCTTTCTTTCTTTCTTAATTTTTCTCAGTTTCTTTCTTTCTTTTTTACTTCTCTCTTTTTCTTTCTTTCTTTCTTTCTCTCTTTTTTACTTCTCTCCTTTTCTTTTGTTCTTTCTTTCTTTCTTAATTTTTCTCAGTTTCTTTCTTTCTTTTTTTTTCTTTTTTTTCTTTCTTTCTTTTTTCTTTTTTTTTCTCTCCTTTTCTTTTGTTCTTTCTTTTCTTTTCTTAATTTTTCTCAGTTTCTTTTTTTTCTTTTTTACTTTCTCTTTTTCTTTCTTTTTTCTTTTCTCTTTTTTACTTCTCTCCTTTTCTTTTTGTTCTTTTCTTTCTTTCTTAATTTTTCTCAGTTTCTTTCATTCTTTCTTTTTTCTTTCTTTCATTCTTTTTTTTTTCTTTCATTCTTTCTTAAAATGTTTTCATTCTTTAATTTTTCTCGGATTCTTTCTGCCTTTAAACAACTTTTCTTTTTCTTAAAGTGTTTCTTTTCTTCTTTCTTTCTTAAAACATTTTCCTTCCTTACATTTTCTCAGTTTCTTTCTTTCTTAGACAGCATTCCTTCTTTCTCTAAGAGCTTCATTCCTTCTTTTTCTTTATTTCTTTTTCATCTTTTTAGTTTCTTTCTATTTTCTTCTTTTGTCCGCATTTCTCATATTTCCTCATTTTTCTAATCTTTCTTTCCCTTCTCCAAGTTGCTGACTGTTGGCTGAGCATCAAGTAGAATCAGAAATGCTTTTACAAACAAACCATCACCAAAAAGAAAGATGAGAAAAAAGGAATTCTCATTGGTCGACTCTGACACAAAATTCTTTACACATTTTTCTTTTATTGATTTTTTCTTTCTCTCTTCTTGCATTTCTTCCTACAGATATTTTTCTTGGCCTTCTTTCATTTGAGATAACGCAGAAAGGGATGAAAACTTGAAACTATTTTCAAACTGCTCTTGAAATTGTCAAAATTACTATGAATAATATTTTATGAGAAAATTCAGATTTTTTACCAATTGTTGTTATTACAACAGAACACCACATAAAAATATTATTATGACAGAAAACCATATAAAAATATTATTATAACAGAACACTATATAAAAACATTATTACAAGAGAACACCATATAAAAAATATTATTATGACAGAAAACCATATAAAAATATTATTATAACAGAACACTATATAAAAACATTATTACAACAGAACACAATATAAAAAATATTATTATGACAGAAAACCACATAAAAATATTATTATAACAGAACACTATATAAAAACATTATTACAACAGAACACAATATAAAAAATATTATTATGACAGAAAACCATATAAAAATATTATTATAACAGAACACTATATAAAAACATTATTACAACAGAACACAATATAAAAATATTATTATGACAGAAAACCATATAAAATATTATTATAACAGAACACTATATAAAAACATTATTACAACAGAACACCATATAAAAAATATTATTATGACAGAAAACCATATAAAAATATTATTATAACAGAACACTATATAAAAATATTATTACAACAGAAAACCATATAACAAAATGAACAATTATTACCATAGAACAGACAATATATAATTTTCCTTCTTTAGACTATATGTCTGTTTTTCTGATTATCAGAATGTGGGCAATCATGACTCTCCACAGCTTCCTATCCTTTGTAGCTTTAATGTTTCTCTCCTTATAATTCCTTTCATTATCTCTCCTTCCATCCATTTTCACAATCTTGTTTGGTAATTTACTCTAGACTTCAATATGTTCTGCGAATATCAAATTCTCCAAGCCTTTTTCTCATTAGGTATATCTTTCTGATTCGATGTATAAGTTTTCTTTTTCATTCCCATTTTCCTTAAAAATTTTTGTTACCTCCATATCTTGTCCATGGTATTCTCAGCATCCTTCTGTAGTACTAAATCACTGTTGTCTCAAGCCTTTTCTTCATATGTGAGGAGATTGTCTAGAATTCACTGTTATGTAGGAATATTGATATTATATACCAAGTCAACACACCTTTTAATAAGGGAACAAATATTACCCAGAGTTACAAAGGATAGAAAATTGAAGAATTCATACCATTTTGGTAAATGATCTATGGAATGAGTTTAGTAATCATCATTTTACAGCAAATTCATGTCTGTCACAAGGCCACAGAAAAGGGCAAGCCATCAACTGTAAGAATACAATATGGTTGGCAGCAAGAAATAAAGCTCAAGATGTTAAATGCAAAGTGGAATCAGTGGTGTAGCTAGTGCTTGTGCAACCCAGGGCAGACCTTGAATTTCCCAGATCACACAGAAATGCAACATATTGCACAGTGACTCCCTCTCATATATATATATATATATATATATATATATATATATTAAAAAAATAAGAAAGAACAATAAGATTTATAATTCAGTGTTCTTAGAAATTATTTTTATTTTTAAAAAACAGTGCTTGAAACAAACAATAGAGCCTAATATTATTATAATTATTTAAAAAAAAAAAAATATTTAAATAATTATATATATATATATATATATATATATATATATATATATATATATATATATATATATATACATAATTACGCTGGTCTCAGAAAACCTTCAGTTTCTTGATTTGCTAATGGTCAAATCAATCTCGAAGGAGAAAAAGGTTTTAAAAAAAGAAAGAGCTATGAACATGAATGTCTGTTGAAAATAATTGTACAGCATACAGGTCCAAAGCCCAAAGAAAAAAAAACCGATATGAGTAATCAACTAACTTAAAAGTCCTCAATACAAAAGTAGAGCAGACCTTTGAAGTTAAATTTGAGTTTATGTGAAAGATAATAGCCTACTGTTGATCCGTACAAAAAGAAAAATAGTTTTATATCTTTAAGTAAAGATATATTACAGATATATATATATATATATATATATATATATATATATATATATATATATATATATATATATATATCCAGAACAAATGCAATATGATTCCACTGTATGTAACATTTAATTTAAAAGTGGGCTCAATACATAGTAGAGCTAATATATATATATATATATATATATATATATATATATATATATAGTGTATATTTAGGCAGCATTCTTTCATTAATGCATGTTTCATTAAATAATATTGTTGAATAAGCTTTTTAGCATTATCACTGAAACGCGACAGAAAATCACCATGCTGATACATGTTTTTATTGTTAATCAGTGCTTCAGGGATTATGCTAAAACCTTATTTGGCAATAAGAAAATAATTGGCTTAAAATAAATAGACAAAACTTGTCTTTATCATTTAATTAAACATGTATATATATATATATATATATATATATATATATATATATAGATAGATAGATAGATAGATAGATAGATAGAAGTTTCATTAAAAATGACTGACAAGGTACTGCGATTAAGTTTTTATTTAATTTTTCATGTATTCTTATCATGTTCTTCTTTTCTGGATGTAAAAGTCACATATCCGTTAGGGAACTGTGTTCCTGATCAATCCAAATTTACGCAACATACTGGTTTATAATACAAATATAATAGCCTCGTCCAATGTAAAAATGAGTAAAAATAATGGAAATATTATCAATAAAAGAAAAAAAAGCCAACACTAAATAATATCAACTATGAACATGGCCACAATTTGTTGACCGTGTTTGGAAAATAAAACATTCTTATTACTCTAGATACCTGCATAAAACAATCCATACATTCAGATAAAAGTAATTTTTTTTTTTATTTTTGAATAAATGATTATATATATATAGATGCTACATTCAACATCATCACTTGATAAGATGCTGGAGGTGTTGAAACAAAATGGCTATTTTTGTAGTGATTTTATAACATATTTATGTTATAATTTTTAAATAAATAATTATATATATATATATATATATATATAAGTTTAATGGTCAGAGTTGAATAGAACCAGGAAACAGTAATATTAAAAAGTGCTAAATATAAATACATGTGTAAAAAAAATAAAGTAAAAGTAACAATATCATGTAAAGCTTTTAACTTTAAAAATCAGGAGATCAGTTGAATCTGCTATTACAGTTTCAATGCTATGGTATGCTTAGGTAATTTTTATCAAATGACCATTTGGTAAAAATCACCTGAGGATGCCCTAAGGCTGAAATCAGGGTAGTGGATTCAACTGATCTCCTGATTTTTAAATATATATATATATATATATATATATATATATATATTGTGTGTGCCTTTATAATATTACTTTCACATACTCAAATATATTAGTATACTTTAAATAGACACCAAAGATACTGTAATATAATAACAACACCAAGTAGAAAGTTATGAAGCTTTATTAGACTAAGTCAGCCTAAGCACTGACATTACATTTATTGTAATCGATAGTTACAAGCTAGAGGGGAGATGGGGCGGGCTTATTTTATTACCACCCATACTTAAAATTTATAAGTTACAGTTACACAGAATACAAAATGAAGATTAAAAAGTGTTAAAAGTTAGGACCATCTTTATTGCTACAACTTTCTACAAAATAAACTTCTGAGTTTTCTATATAGATTTACACAGCAGACCCCAGAAGGCTTCCTGCCCCCCCCCCCAGTTGCCTTCCTCACCTCCTTGCCGCCTTTGCTGCCCTACAGCGACACTACTGTTGGAGATATCTACATTAAATTAATACAGAAGTTTAAACATCTGGGAAGTGTTTTCATGAAGGATAAAAATGTGACACAGGAAGCCAAACAAGCATTTAATTAACAAAAGATGCCTTCCAAAAGCTAAACAAAGTAACAAGAAACAGGAAAATTTTATTATAAACAAAGAAAAATGCACTGAATTTCTATGTGATATCAATCTTCAATTGTATGACAGTGAATGCTGGGCAATCTCCGCACAGATGAATTGGAAACTGGAGACAACAGAAATGTGGTTCTACAGAAGGATACTGAGAATTCCATGGACAGAGTGGTTAAGTAATGAGGAAACCTTAAAGAAAGTGATAGCAAAAAAGAACACTTATACTCAGTATTAGAAAGAGATGGATGAAATTTCTTGGACTAAATAAGGAAGGAGGACTTGGAAATCTTAACACACACAAGATATATCCCATGCAAGTGATATAGGCTTGTGATTGGAATGTGAAATGGGAATGCAGAAGTCTTGGCATAGGAAGAAAAGCTGTGAAGATATGGAGAGCCACGATTGCCTATATCCTGTAATGACATGGCCCATAGAAAAAGTATTTTTATAAAAATTAATACAGAAGTAAGCAATATACAGCTTATGCCATGCTCAGTAAATTAATCTCATGGACTCCTAATGCTTGAGTGGACTTTGTTCTTTTTGGGTGCCTAATACTTGTGGCCTTGTGCCAGACTAGAGTAAGCTTAGTAAATACTGATAACTTCTTTTGTTTAAGCATTTGTGTGGATGCATGTGTGTGTGTGTGTGTGTGTGTGAGTGCAGTGTATGTACAGCAGGTATTGGTGAATGGGATTCTAAAATGAATGTTTATGTTTATAGAATGAAGTAAAGAAAAGGAATGAATGAATTGAAGAAGCAAATGAAGTATAAAAGGAAGGAATAGATAAATAAGAGGAGGAAGGAAAAGAGAAATGAAACCAAAAAATGAAAAGCAAAGAAGTTAAGTCCAAACAGGTTCTTGGTGCCAAAAATTACGAAAATTTTGGCAAATTTCTGACTTGTGTGGAAAGGTAAGTAAAAGGCACCTGAGAAGTGTGGGAAGCAAGAGGAATCCAATTTCATCCAAACATTTGTTTATTTTTTGTTATTAGGGGTTGTTGTGATTAGTTGCTAAGGAAACAAGCAAGTCTGGCCAACAAAAAGAAGTAAAAAAAAAAAGAAGAGGTTAAGAAAGAAAAGAAAGAAAGAAAGAAAGAAAGAAGAGAGAATGGTAGAAAAAGGAAGAGATATAAAGGAAAAAGGCAAAGACAATCCAAAAAGAAAGACTGGGATAAATAGAAAGAGAAAAAAAGAGAGAAAAAAATCAAGCAAACAAAGGTAATATAAGAAAGAAAGGACAACACAAAAAAGACAATCTGAGAGAGAGAGAGAGAGAGAGAGAGAGAGAGAGAGAGAGAGGAAGAAACTTAGGAAAAAGAGAGAGGGTGAGAGAAAAATCAAAGAAGAAAACATGAAAGCAGTAGGAATAACAAGCAAAATAAGAGAAAGAGAGAGACAGAGAGTAGGCAAAGAGAAATAGAAAATAGAGAGAGAAAAAGAAAAAAGAAAGCGGCAAAGAGAAAGAAACAGAGAGAGAAAGATAATGAGAAAGAAGAGAACAAAGAGAGAAAGGCAAAGAGAAAGAAGGAAATAAGGATAGAGAGAGAAATACAAATAGGGAGAAGGATCAGAGAGTGAGGAAAAGAAAGTGAAAGAAGGAAACAGAGAAAAGGAGAGAGAAAGGCAAAGAGAAAGAAGGAAATAGGGAGAAAAGAAAGAAAAAGAAAGAAAGAAAGAAAGAAAGAGAGGAGAAAGGCAAAGAAAGAAGAAAACAAAGAAAGAGAAAAAGAAAGAGAAAGTGTGAAACAGATAAAAAATGAGAAAAACAAAGAGAATGAAGAAAACAAAAAGGGAGAGGGAGAAAAGTAAAAAGAAAGCAGGAAACAGAGAGAGAAAGGCAAAGGGAAAAAAGGGAAAAGAAACAAAGAAAAAGGCAAAGAGAAAGAAAGGAACAGATAGAGAAAGGTAAAGAGAAATAAGGAAACAGCGTGAGAAAGGTAAATAGAAAGAAAGGAAGGAACAGAGAGATAGAAAGAAAAAGGGTTTGCCAAAATAAGTAAAATTCACATTGATTGGGCCACCAGGATTGACATTAAAGAGGTCAGGAGTCTAACATGTGCTGCTTGTTGTGTCGATAAGTGACTACCCACATGCATCAGGTATGAACGCTTAAAGGAGCCAGGATTTCAATCACTCATGATTGGTTCTTTGCAGCAGGATAGGCTTGTGGGGGTGAATGTTATATCCGTGGGTGGTGAAAAGTATTTTGAATTGTACAGCAATGTTCCTGAAGAAAGAACAATAGATACAAGCGTGTATACAAAATCACAAACATACACTCACACATGGACAAACACACACACACACACACACACACACACACACACAGATGAATATACACTCTCACACACACAGACAAAAACACATGTACACCTCCACATGCATATAAATTTATGTACACTACAGTTTAAAAGTTTGAAACCACCCCCAGAATTAGTATGGAATGAACTTGACAGAAGAGTGAAAAGAAAAAGTAAAAGAGCTTTTAGAATCATTGAAAAAAGAATGGAATCAATTGCCAAACTTTAAGAAACTTCTGCAGAATTCTGCTGCCAGTAATCAAGGCTAAAAGGAAATATTTTGACAAGAGCAAAATTTAATTATAAAATGCTTCTTTTTTTGTCATAATAAAATTTCTAATAAAAGATTTTGTGTCACTTTTTTTAACCTTGCATTATAATTTTCTTTTATTTAAAGAAAAACATCATTTTGGACCAATTTGAAAAATTACCAGGATTGCTTCAAACTTTTGAACTGTACTGTATATATATATATATATATATATATATATATATATATATATATATATTATATATATATATATATATATATATATATATATATATATATATATATTTATTAAAAAATTATAACATAAATATGTTATAAAATAACTATAAAAAAAAATAGCCATTTTGTTTCAACACTTCTGGTGTCTTATCAAGTGACGTTGAATTTGATAAGACACCAGAAGTGTTGAAACAAAATGACTGTTTTTGTAGTGATTTTATAACATAACTCTTCTGGATAGTCTCCTGGTTTAATTTGGTGAATCCTACCATAATCTTTGCTTTCAGTTCATATTTGGTGTTACGGGGAGTTTTGTTGGTCTCTTAACTGCACCCCACTCATAATAATCAATGGGGTTGCAGTGTGGGTGTTAGATAGCCAGATGTAAGGGGTGATGTAGTTGCAGAAATTGTCTGACGGCCATGACTGGGTTCTCTTACTTGTGTGGCATGGTGCAGAGTCCTGTTTCCAGAGATAGGGTCTTCCAGAAGCCACCCTTTTGACCCAGGGCAACATTACCTTCACAAGCCATTTGATGTAGACCTCTGTGTTGAGTCTGAGGCCCCTCACCAACAAATTCAGGAGTTTATCAGAACAATCAGAGTGAGTTTTCTGAGCTTCTGTATCTTCATAATCACCATTAGACTCATCCAACTCTTTCTGAATCCTCTGCACTGTCCTCAGATTGACACCCAAACACTCTGAAATGTTTGGATTGAAGTTTCCGGTGTGAATGCCAAGCAGTACAGCATGCTATTTCCAAGTTTCTGGCAGAGTGAATTGCATCATGGTACTCTTTTCCTCACAAGCGGTGCCCAACTGACCCTACTATACTGTACAGTCAACAAAATCAAAACACACAATGCACATGTGCAAAATTAAAATATAAAATGGCCACAATTTACCTTATATATATATATATATATATATATATATATATATATATATATATATATATATATAAACAAGTTTGATTAAAAGAACCAACAATGTCTGTCTGTTTAATTTATTATTATATGTTTCCAATTTTTGGACAAGGTGTAGAGTATTGTGCTTGAAATTGTGGTTAAACTGTCCAAAGTTCATATTTTGTTATTTTGGTTCAAGTACCTTCAATTCTCACAGTCATTATCAAGAATACCAGGATATATACAACTACTACACTGGCACCACATTGGTTCTTGATACACACACACACACACACACACACACACACACATATATAGGCATGGTGGAGTAATGGATAGTGGCTTGAGGAATCGCAGAGCCGAGTTCGAATTCCAGTCAAATCCATTACATTCACTTACGTGCTAATACCCTTGTGAAAGGTATGAATCCTCTTCCTCTCCCTCCAGCTATGGGTAAAATAGCAGGACAGACTGGGTTCTATAGCCTTGGATGGCAACTGGTCTAGGAGAACTGGACAACTTTGAATTCAAAACCTGCGGAGGGTCATTTGGAGACCTTGTGACACTTAGTGCACCAGGTCTCTGTATTCATCCCTTCAAAAAGTGTGGATGGTCCTGCACAAATATATATATATATGTATGTAGGGTATATTTAGGCAGCAAAAGAGAAGAACAATAGAGAGGAAAAACTACACCAGGAGGTCACAACAGCAAGAGGGATGATCATTTCAATTTAGAGCTAAATTCATTCTTATTGTTCAAAAGAGTCCAATAGTATTATAAAGACCTTGGAGAATTCCAGTAAGATACCTTTAAGCATTTTAAGATGTAATGGTTCAAAGATTAATTTAACAATTGGACAATTTTGGTGTTACACGATTTGGTCACTTTAGTTTTATATATATATATATATATATATATATATATATATATATATATCGGGTGTAACACTAAAATTGACCAAATGTATATATATATATATATATATATATATATATATATATATATATATATATAAACAATTAAAAAGAACCAGCAAGATCTGTCTGTTTAATTTTTATTATATTTTTCCAATTTTTGTATAAGGTGTTGAGTATTGTATTTGAAGTTGTGGTTAAAATGTCCAAAGTTCATATTTTCTTATTGCTTTGTTGAAGTAATATTCAAACATTGCAGTCATTATAAAGAATAGCAGGATGTATACAACACCACATTGGTTCTTGATAATGACTGTGCATATATATATATATATATATATATATATATATATACAAAAGAAAGAGGCTATAGTTGTTCCAATGAGAGAAAAGTGAATATTTTAAAAAGAGAGAAAATGCAAACGTTTTTGGTAATAATGTGAACTTTTTTAAAATAGATTTTATACTTTTTTTTCTATATTTTTCCTACATGAAACATCTCCAAAAAACCTGCCTTGAAAAACAACGTTAAACTCTAAAAAAACAAAGCTACCCTCACAACTCTAATAAGCATACATAAACACACAGCATACACACATAATGATCAAATACACTGGTCATACCACACATACATACATACATACACACACACACGCACACACACACAAGTATCTATGGAAAATGAATATATATACACATGTTGGCAAAACAAACACAATATATATATATATATATATATATATTTTAAATCAATTAATTTATAATATATATATATATATATATATATATTTTAAATCAATTAATTTATAATATATATATATATATATATATATATATATATATATATATATATATATATGAGGTGCATTGAATGAAAATCTTTGGAAGGGCGAAACATGTTACATAGAATTTTTCCAGTTTTGTCATTCAGTTACAATCAATATGTGTGTGTCTATATGTGTGTGTATGCCTATGAGTGTGTGAGTATACATGTGTATCTATGTGTGTGTGGGCTTGCACACATGCTTGTGTCTGTATATGTGTGCATGTGTCTATGAGTGTGTGCCTATGTATGTGTGAGTGCATGTGTGTGCCTGTGTGTGCATGTGTGTGCACATGTGTGTGTCTATGTGTGTGTGTATGCACATGTGTGTCTGTGTGTGTGTTTCTGTATGTGTGTCGGTGCATGCTAAGTTCTTTATTGTTTTTTTCTTGTGTACAAACAAGATATTTTTTAGACATTGTGTGCATAGAAATCATAAAAAACAAAAAATCCCCAATTTACAACATTAATTAACAAACATGACCTCAATGACCTGGTTGTATTTGTGTATTATTAACCTCTCGGTAATTTACATGCCATTTGCAATATCACAACCAATATATTTGTAAATGGGTAATAGATTTGCTGGAAGCACTTGGACCAATCAATCATTTAGACAATTTCTACACACCTTTTTTTTCCCTTCAGTGTCACCCCAAGCAAGGCAATAAAGCCACTAACTAATGCAAGAGGTTATGGAGTGTGGAGGAATTAAGAACAGAAACATTAGCCATCAGTAGAAAGAGAAAAGAGCAGTCAGGAGGACATTTAAATTTTTGCAGAATAAAGTTGGCTGGAAAGCATGGAGCCAGAGTTCCACAAATAAGAAGTGTGAGAAAAACTGTTATCATAGATGTTACAGCTACATCTGGCCAACACAACTGTAAATTGATGAGATCTCGCCAACAGTCTAGTATTTTGATTAAATTCATACAGTCTCTATCATGAAAGTATTTATAGAAAAGCACAGAGAGGCAAACTTATGCCTTAGTTCCAAAAAGAAATCTCTTGCTTCTATATGTTAAAAAAAATTAACAGAAGTAACTTGCTTTTATTTTTTAATGAAACATGTATCAGAGAGGGATTTTTGCCTACATACACAACTATATATATATATATATATATATATATATATATATATATATATATATATATATATATATATTAGTTTGTACTTGAAAATGCATAGGCAAGTGTGCATGACTTTGCAGATGAATGATATTCAGAGATAAGTACATAAATACCAAAAGAATTGCAGGTAAAAAAAAATGTATTTGCCAGACGAAACATAAAAACATAAGAAAACAATTTCTAAGTGGAGGAGGCAATGCCCTCTGACCTCTGAATTGTTAGAATCAATGTTATGTTTTTTTGCTATAGAAAAAGGAAAATTGAAAAAAAAACAAAAACATTTCAATTCCTTAACCAAAAGAAGAAAAATAATCTCTGAGAATAAAAGAGAAAATATTATTTACATTATTCAGACTATTGTCCTCATCTTTGTTGCCATATTTATCACAACGTTTCGGCCATTGTATGCTCCGGACTTCTTCAGGTGGTTGGAATTTCGAACTGAACCCCTTATTGCGCTCACTGGGGTAGACTGTTCTAGTTCCACGTGCCATGTTTGATGGATGTCAGTTATCAGTTATCTCCTG